GGGCAGCTAACGGTCCCGCGCCCCTCGGCGTCCGCGCCCCCGCCCCGTGCCGCGCCCGGCCGAGCAGGCGGCGCCGGCGGGCGATGGGGGCGGCGGAGCCGCTGCGCTCGGTGCTGTGGGTGAAGCGGCAGCGCTGCGCCGTGAGCCTGGACCCCGCGCGGGCGCTGCTGCGCTGGTGGCGGAGTCCGGGGCCCGGAGCCGGCGCCCCCGGCGCGGGTGAGTGTGGCCGCGGCTCGCGGGCTCGGCCGGGGAGCCGGGGAGCCGGGGAGAGGGGGCACGGACGCGGCCCGGCACCCGGGGGCGGGGGGGGGGGTGTGCGCTCCGGGAACCCGGTGACAAAGGGCGAGTCGGGGCGGCGCGGGCGGGGAGGGCCGGAGATCCGGCGCCCGCGGTCCCCTGCGCGGATGCGCCCCGGGCGGGCGAGGCTCGGGCCGGGCGGTGTCGCCTGGTCGCCGCTGCATCGCGCAGACCGGCCCCCGGGGACCTGAAGGGCACCTTCTGGATGAGATTGGTCACGGATGGATGCCGAGGGGTGCGGGCGCCCTGCACTCGGTTTCGGTTTAAACCAAGTACGGACGCTTTTCTTTAGCGGGGGCCCCAAACCGAGAGGCAGCCTGCAGGGTAGGGGATTCCTGTTGTAAAGAGGAGCAAGGGGCTCTCGACCTTCCGTCTGGGATGTGCTGGGGGGGCGGGGGCCGTGGGGAGTTGATTTTGGTACGACAGGCTGGACACATGACCTTCAGAGGCCCTCCGGACTCGAAGAAGTGTAATTTGGGTAAAAATGGAAAGGGGGACACACCCGGCCCAAGGGACATTCTCTCCCCAAGGAGAAGGGGCCAGGGGCTCCTGGGCAGAGCTGCCGGCTGGCAGAGGGATGGGAGGAGGCTGATGAAGGAGATGTCCTTTGATCCTGGGGAGGAGGGAGGAGGATTGCCCAAGGGGGGGGGGTTGGACAGTGGGAAAGGGAAGAGGCTTCCAAGGCAGAGGAAGCCCCGGGCTGACCAGTGTGGGCGTGTTTCACTTCATTCATTTGTCTTGTGCAAGTTTTTATAGAGGGCCTGTTGGGGAGGGTGGGTGGTATCCTAGCCTTGGCCCAGTGCTCATGGCAGAGTCCCTGCCGAAATGGATCATTTTCCCTGGAAGGGAGACAGAGGGGTACACGTGCAGAGACATGTATGTCTGAGGAGAACACCGTGACAGGTGGAGGCAGGTGGCTGTGGTCCAGGGGCAGCCAGCAGCCCTCCCTTAGGTGGCCACATTTGACTGCAGACCTGGAGGGACCATGCACAAGGGGAGAGGTGGTGCAGGTGGGGAGCACCGCCCTAAGACCAGCCAGGAGGTGGGGGAGAGGAAATGGGGCCCTATGGATCCCCGGGGGCTGAGGTGGGACTTCTCTTTTTCTGTGAGTGCTTGGGAGCCCCCAGGAGGGCTTTATCCAGCTCAGCCTTTCTAAAGGATCCCTGCAGAGTGAACCGAGTAGGTGCAAGGGAGTGCAGTGGGGAGGCTGCTGACCCGGTCGGGGCAGGGGCAGGAGTAGGGGTGAGCTGGCAGGGTCTGCATAAAATGCAGAAGCTGAGTGAGGAGAGCATGGTCCAGGTTTGCAGTCCATTGAAGTCACGGCAGGAGACTTGGGGACTTAATTGTTTTAATTATTGGGGGTGGGTGTTGCAGAGGTTGGAATTCTCTCCTGGGCAGAGTTTGGGATGCCTTTTAGACGCCTTGGGGATGGTCAGGGTGCTGCAGGAGCTTCCTGACGCTGAGGATGTGAGGCTCAGAAGGTTGGAGAGGGGGTGGGCAGAGCTGAAACGTAGGCGGGGCCAAGATCAAGGGTGGCCTCCGACCCAAGACCAGCACTTGGTTTCCGGCTTCTGCAGAGAGCCTGTCTGTGGCACGGTGGCTGAGAGTCTACTCCTGTGTGATCTTACTGAGGTCCCTTTGGGAGAAATGTCTTGCCTCAGATCTCATCCTCGGGCCTCCTCGCACCACCCACCAGGGCCCTCTGTCTCGCTGTAGCTCTCTCACGCTGCGGTGAGTGGTGCCTGGCCTGGCCCCAAGGGCTTTGAGCTGTTCTGTCCATCTCAGGGCTCCAGGATGGGGCTCTCCCCTGCAGCCATGCTGCTGCTGTTCTGTGTCCTATCCGCACATGACCCCTGCGGGGTAGCTGTTCCCACACTTTACTGCTGGGGAGACTCAGCTACGGAGAGTTTAAGTCACTGCCCGACCCGTGGTCCAGCTGCGAGCTTGGTGGGTCCCAAGCCAGCCAGTGGCAGTGTGGCCTCCTGCGGGCCTCAGCACCCCACCCCTGTGGGTTGTCCGGGTGGGAAGTCCCTCAGTGCCTGCTTTCAGTGTGGGCACCCTCTGCTGGCTCCCAGTGGTTTCTGGTCACCAGACGCAGGGGGTTGTGGGCCTGCTTGCTTCTGCTGGTGCTCACAGCCACAGCCGCCAGTCCTCTTTCTTGGGATGGTGGTTGTTTGGCTTTTATACACCGTGGAGGCACTTCAGTGGGGGCTCAGCCGGAGCTTCTCAACCAAGAGCTTGGTTCCCTCCCTGGAGAGGCCGGGAGCTGTGCAGCCTGGGCCGGTGGGCCTCCTCCCGGAAGGGTCCTGTTCTCGTCACGCTGTGTGCTTCCCAGCATGTGCAGAGCACGGTGAGAGGCGCAGAGGGCTGCACCAGCTCTTTGGGGTTTCCCCATTGCTTGGCACCCCCAAAAGGAAGCAGGCCCGTGGAACATGATTGCATGCTGGAGATCAGGAGGGTTAGCAGCACCCACGTGGACTGGCCCACGGGACATTTCATTCAGTTCGCTCCCAGGGACAGATGGGGAAGGAGTGCGTTGGGCATGCCGCAGCAGGGGGTCAGAGAAGGGGATCAGGGCCACTGTGTGCACTGGGCGGGGTGCGGCCGCTCGGGTTATGTCACCTGACCCTCCTGTGTCTCGAGAATATCACTGCTGTTTTCAGACACAGAAACTGGAATTGCTCACAGAGGCAAAAGATGTGCCCAGGGGAGCTGTTCTTTAAACCAAGCCTGTGTTCTGCGGGTCACTGTGCCGGGAACGTGGCTCGGTGTTGGAGAGCCAAGTTAGGACGAGGAATTGGGAGGGGCAGGGTTTTCTGGTCCCAGAGAGGGCCACCCTGCCCCTAAAGATGCAGTGAGAGCCAGTGCCCCTGGGTGCCGGCCTGGTCGGAAGTGAAGCCGACCGAAAACAGGAAACCCCACAGAGGTGTCCTGGCTCAAAGTGGGTCATGCTGAACTTGAAACAGACTGTAGCTATATCAGGTTATACCCTCAGACTCTGAACGTGTTCTTTTAGGGTCGGGGCTGGCAGGGGTGTGCGTGCGTGGGTGCGTGTGTCCGGGGGGGGGGGGGGGGGGGGGGGGTAGACACTGCGGCCCAGGCTCCACCGTTGAAGGAGAGCCCTCCCCTTCCTTCCACCAGCCCCACCTGGAATGCCCCACCGCTGGTGGGGAGCTCCTTGGCCAGGGCACGGCTGTATTTATAAACAGTGTGTCTAACACCACCTGTGCAGTGCCTAGCCAAATGTAGGCAAACCACAGATAACTTACAGAAAATTTAAAATCTAGAAAACACAGAAAAGCAGGTACATAGAATTCACCCTTAGTCTCACCCTTAAGCAGTGAATACTATTTGGTGTTTTTGCCTATGTAAACATGCATGAAGGAAGAGTTAGGGAAATATACTGCAGAATGTTTTCCAGGGTACTATTTACTCACTTAAAACGTGACTTTTTAACATCAGTTTTATCGTCTGATGTCTGGCGTTGGCTCAGGTCATGATCCCAAGGTCCTGCCCTGCATCAGGCTCCCTGCTCAGCAGGGAGTCTGTTTGTCCCTCTTCCTCTGCCCCTCCCCGCAGCTTGTGTGTGCACATGGGCACGCGTGCTCGCGATCTCTCTCTCTCTCAAATAGATAAAATCTTCAAAAAATAAAGTCAGCGTTACTGAGGTATAATTTGCAGGCAGTAAAATCCACCCATTTTAAGGGTATAGTTTGGTGAATTTTGATAAATATATGCACCTGCCCAAGCAACGCCCCGTCAAAATATAGGACATTCAGATCAGCCCAGAACTTTCTCCCGAGCTCCATCCCTCCGTCTCTGCGTCTCTGCATGGCTCCACCACCAGGAATAGAGTCGACCTCTAATAGAATTTCCTCTAAGTGCAATCATGCAGTACATGCTCTTGTCTCTGGCTTCTTTATCTCACTTAATCTTTTTGCAATTCATCATGTATCAGTGGTTGGTTCTTCCTTGTCACAAAGTAATACTGCATTGTATGAGAAAACCAGTTTGTTTATCCATTCACTTGATGGACTTCAGGACCATTTCCAGTGTTTGGCTGTATGAATAAAGATACTGATCATTTGTGTACAAGTCCTTTTGGGGGCATATGCTTTCTTTTCTCTTGAATGCATATTTAGGAGTCGAAAGCTAGCATAAGAAAGCTCATGTCTTTTTTTTTTTAAGATTTTATTTATTTATCTGACAGAGAGAGTGAGAGAGCACTGTAGAGGGAACAGTAGAGGGAGAGGGAGAAGCAGGCTCCCCGCCAAGCAGGGAGCCCGATGCGGGGCTCGATCCCAGGACCCTGGGATCATGACCTGAGCCGAAGGCAGATGCTCAACCATCTGAGCCACCCAGGCGCCCCCAGAAAGCTCATGTCTTAAGACGTGATTTTTCTCGGTTGTGCAATCTTTTATTACATGAACACTACAAATGCCTTTTTTATTTATTGAGGATATAAAAGTTCCTCAAAATCAGAATTGGATGGACTGAAGATTTTCATGTAAAGATAAATTAGTACAAGAAAACAGGATAATTGATAATTTTGGACTATGGGAAGACCTCACTAACCAAGATGGAATCCATACAAAAAGAAAAATCTAGATTATTTCAATAAATAAAAATCTTACAGTTTTTTTTGGTAAGACTCCATAATTTTAAAGATGATGGGAGTGATATTTGCAACAGATATGACAGTCAAAGGATTAAAATTAAGAAAACATTTTGGACACAGAAAAATGGATTTAGGGGCACCTGGGTGGCACAGTTAGTTATGTGTCTGTCCCTTGATTTCTGCTCAGGTCGTGTTCTCAGGGTCGTGGGATCTAGCCCCTCATGAGGCTCTGCACTGGGCGTGGAGCCTGCTTAAGATTCTCTCTCTCTCTCTCTCTCTCTCTCCCTCTGCCCCGCCCCCC